AAAAAATTGTCGCTTGCTCATACAAAACCTCCTAATGACAGATTTTGTTTTCCTCGCTCGCGAAGAAGGAATGGATAGACGGCGATGCATTGTGAACATCTGCATTTGGAATTTGGAACATTCAGAGGGTGGCAAAAGAAAAAGCAGCTTAGTACCTTTCCGAACACCTCCCCAAAGTGCGTCCCCTTATCTTGAATATTGTAATGGTCCTTCAGCATATTCGAATGCACAATTTAGGCGATCCTATCGTTCATGGAGCCATTAGTCGTTGTTCTTTAGGCAACGATCTCAGTGCGCTATCTGAATCGTCCATTGACGTTCCACAGTTGTGTTTGTTTTAGTCATTATACTGCTCTCATCAGTAAAAAAAGAAAAAGCTGAACAAGTAAATTTTGTTGCTAGGATTTTGGCAAAAGCAGTGCAGTGCCTTTCAAACCACTAATAAATTGGTATGTAGCTTTTATGCCCGAACGTGCACGGTGTAATGACGGCGATCGACCTATCGAATTCTTACATATGAGAAAAAACGGTCTTTTATGCCGCAGCACAACAGAGATTTTCTGTTGCAACCGTGAAATTGTTGCCCATGCAGATTTTTCTCAAGTGACCACTTACGCTTATCCCGCGAACATTCAAAGTTTGACGAGCATTCAATCTCTTTAACTAATTTTCGCATCATGCGAAACAGCGAAATCATTGTGTCTTTATTTGTACTTGCCACTAAATGTTGCTTTTAAATTTTTTGAAATCTAAACTGCTACGGATGACGAGCTTGAGGAGCATGACGATAGTTCCATTACATCCTCTCGTAATTTTGCTTCTAACTACCGGTGCGGTATTGGGATGTGGAACACTTGTAGGACCATGTAATATACTGAAAATTAATTGCATCCAGAAAACATCTGCAATTTCAAACGCTAAGGTTGATATATTTACTGCTCCACGGCATCTCAAAAAAGTCGTAATCTGAGGGACAACGTTCCCACAGGAAGTGTTGTTTACCAGTGAATAAGTCAGATTGATCTGGATAAGCTATTGTAAGAATAGGATGACTGCGACTAGTACTAGCTCGTGAGTCGTTCTGACTTAACCTCTATTTAAACGAACATTTTGTTCTTTTCAAGCCAAGCTGTCCGTGTAGACTTGTTGACCTGTTTCCAACTGCATCAATCCGCCTAGGATATTTGCCGATAAAAGAAGTTCACCTTCTAACTCCTTCAGATATATAGCTCTTCTACTGCTTATTTCAATACTTACCTAATCATTTCATTTTAGTGTTCAACACAGTTTATTACGTTAACGCCTAATGTGTGGAATGAAAATTGTTAAATATGTTCGGTCATCAAAATATCAGCCCAAATCTGCCAAATTCAGCTGCTTCAAGGACATGGAGACTTATCGTTTACGGGCTTCAGATTGCCAGTAGTAATGGCGTACTCTGCTTCACCAGCGGCGCAGTCACAGGCTGCCGGTATCTCACCAAATTTGAATTCAGCAGAAGCATGAGCAAAGCGTCTTGTGATACAAGAAGAGGATCTTGAATAACTCGTCAAATTTTGATATTAGGAGTGCTTAAGGGACTATGCGTAATTTGAAAAAGCTTTTGTAAAATTTCTTCAGCTAATGAAAACCTCGCGTTATAGGTGTTAGACGCTCTTGAACAACAGGGACGCGCCGCTGGTCTTCTCGATTTTATAATCACAACCAATTTAAGTCAACTCGGTGTCAACGTCCTCTATACACTACTAAATTGTCCACTGGTTTCTGTTAATCCAACAATGGTAAGTAAGTTCTCAACTTTGAACACCCATTTGGAAAATTCGACACAATGTGAAGCGAATCCGCGAAAAATTTGCTACAAATTGCATTTGACGGTGTCTTAAATCGTCTCATGTTCAGAAAAAATAGGTGAGGATGGCTTCAAAATGTTTAAAAAATCTAGAAGTCTTTTACTTGTTAAGTTCTCTTGAGAGCACTTTTTTCAAATGATTGGCAAAACACGGATTTGTCGTGAGAACTCTTTCCGGCTAATGTTCCAGTGTGATGTTTGGAAAACAATCGATGCCATGGATCAAAAAAAAGTTAGTACCCAGAAAAAAATGAGGTGTACACCTAATAGAGAGAATTTTCGGTCTTTATTCTAACAAGTGCTCTAATTTTATTCGGGTGAAGACTTTTCTTCTTTGTCTGCCTCTTTAGTGAATATCGATAACGAATTTGTTGCAGTTTTGCAAGAAATAATGGTGAGGACGTGTGTCATCGTCGGAAACACACTGACGACAACATGCCCACCAGGACCAGCGCGAGTTTGAATAATAAGGATACAAGTATATCTGCCAATGGCACCAATTACATGCTTATTGACCCTCAGCACTTGTCAATTTCAGGAACTCTTACGGTTTGAACTGTTCTATTTTTCTGTACAACTTTGTTTGAGAGGAAAATAATTTGCTTAGACCTCAAAACTCATCATGGCGAGTTGGTCGAGAGAGATGTGGTAGAGTGTAGCGAACAGAGTGCTTTGAATGATAACATCGGGTCCGTTTGTATCACACTTTGATTTGTGTGAAATCTTATGCTATAGCTTAACAACGCAAATAAACATGCCTTTGGAGTATTGAATTGTTAGAGGAACGCAAAAACGGTTCTATCAAAGTGTACTAGACAGAGACTCTTGAGTCCTTTCCAAATTATCTGATTTAAAGATTCAGGCTTGAAAAATGATTGGAAGGAGATATGCAAGTATACACTTGGAGAATATACCTAACTGATCATCAAAAACCGGTGGGAAAGGATGAAAGAAACAAAATAGTGAAAGAAGAACAGATATGATATAATTGTCGTAAGATACTCAAAATATCAAATAATTATAATAACATGCTCATTTAGATTTACCTGAAGGCGATTATTCAAACCAGAATAAAATTTTGAGGCACGCATGGAGCGTAAACCCGCTGGATCCCACTTTGACTTTCACGTGGCAGGAACACACGGCCGCCATGCGAGCACGACAAACGCATCGTTGTACTGCGTTGATGTGATATTTGTCAGGTGTTCGTGCGCCGTAGTGGAATCCTGCCTGGCGAGCGATATTGCGAATGATGGCACATATACGTGCCATTTGTGACTTGAGGGCTCAATGTTCCCAAATACATCGCTGATGTTTGCAGAGTGGTGTACTTGTGCCAGCGAAGCTTGAAGACTTGGATTTCTTCTTCAGTCTTCTGAAACTATGAAATCAAAACATGTTTAAGGCTAAAAAAGATACTGTGTGTAAAAATCTATTCACGACTATGAATGCAGCAATGCTTCCTCTACAACTTTGAGTGACAGCAAACCTAGTAAATACTCTCTCCAATGACAGGGAAATTTTCACTAGTTGCCGAAAACCTGTCCTGGAGAAGAAAACCAGCTCCAAGATGAGGAGGTGATTAACAAAGTAATCTTTATCGTTAAGGTGATTGCAGTAAACCGTTGCTACGTACAGTCTTCGTTGGTTGGCGACTCACATAGTTCTTTTATAGAAATTTTTTATCCAAATATAATTAGTTATAAGTCTCTGTTAAGAAACATAGTTGTTGTTGTTGCTGCTGCTGCTGTTATTGTTGCTAGTGTGAAAGGAATGTACATTCGTCGTAATGACTGATGTCAACAAAACTCTTAGTAAAGTCACTTGAGATACGCTGAGATCTCCAATTAAAGCTCCATCGTCGCTTCCTTCTACGCAGCAGCTTGATGGTATTGAGGTTGTAGTGTACTCAAAGAGTTCAGTCATCCTTTAGCTGGGTTTTCTATATGTATTTTTTGCTTGTTCATTTTATTTATTTTCATTGCCATCACAATATTGTTTTCCACTATGCGGATCCCAGTACTTGTAGCATTCGATTCGTTATTCGCCTTCTTCTTCAACGTCGTAGATTACTGGTCGAACACGTGCCGCTGCAACCTTAAGGAGAGTCTGGCTGTGGCGTTCCATAGCTCATTGTTATTGAATGCCGGAGGGAAATGGAGGTGGAGCATGACTCCACGCGCGCTCAACGAGTATCACAACCACTCGACCACGGCGCCCCTTAACAACAGTAACGTCCAAGTTATCAAGAAAAGTTTACATTTTGATTTAGAAAGTGTAACGTGTGCTGCTATAGATGTTCGATTCGTTGCCGTGCATCGTCCTCCACAGAGCTCTTCGACGATTTCCCTTGCTGTTTCGATTGCTACTTGAGGATTTCGTCTTTTCATGAATGTCGTAGAATGGTGATTGAGGCGGTTCTCTTTGAAATCTAAGAGGGTTCGTGGTGCGTTCGTTGCTTGGTTCTAAGAAAGTGGTGATCACGAGGAGGTCGAACCAGCACCTCGATTTCTGATAGCGTTCGTCACTAAGTACTTATCTATCTCCTCCCAACTAATTTATCCCGTGATATGACTCCATTTTTCTTTATGAGCGGACGTGGGGTTTTTAACAGTACAATTTATTCAGTACAAATTATCTTGACATCAGTTTATATTGTTTTGTATTCTGTTCTATTTTATATTATATATTTCTTGCCTAGTATTGTCTTATTGAATTATATTTCAAGACCGTGGACCTACTTCGTCTGGACCTGTAGCTGCAATCCTACACAATCTGCTCCACCCTGCATCTCTGACTCCAAGGTGGGAACGCACTGAATATATTGTTTACTATTTCAATCAATTGATTGTTAGCTTCGTATGATATGTTATATGCGAATATATTATGTTATCATAAGTAGGAAGATAACAGCGTCAAAACAATTATAAATTGAATGCGATCGCTCGCCAGTGGTTGAAGACGCAAAGGCAGTGTGCCCTCGGTAGCGAAAGGGTTGATCTTTACTCCTTGAAAAATTGTATATACATGCATATGTATAAGAGAGGTAATCCGTGCAGAGATGTGATTGATGAGGAAACTCTTATTTTGCCGGTTCTCAAGAGTCTTATAATGTTACAACTATATATTCGACAATGCTGGGCGATATGCAAAATCCAGAATCTTGCGCGGAAATCGAACGCGCGTATCATCCTTCAAAGGGCTGGGTGCTAACCACTGCACCACCGGGACTCCTGCTCAGCTACCATTCTTTCTGCTCTGCGATATAAAGGTATCCTCTCAGTTAAGGGTGTGTCACAAGTTCAAATCCCGCTCAAAGCTCAAGGTTTGTCTCTCATTCTATGGATATTCTCGTTATCCCGCAGGATACTGACTTCTCGGAGTATGGAAATTGAGGAGTAGCATTTAAGAGAAGAGCCGTGGTCCCACATCGCAATCGTTCGACGACGCTTCCTCGTTACTCTGTGACAATGAAACTGCGAAGGCTTTCAACTTTTCTGAAGGTATTTTTTTCCACTGTATTCGAGGAAATAGGTACTGATTTTAGTACATGACGTCAAGGTGGTGAGGAGAGTTCCACAGGAGATGATGTGGTATCATCGGCATGATAAAGAATCGGTTTTATTACCATTATAGGCCATCAGCCTGGCAATTTATCGGTGTAGTACGGGCATTCGATCTCGCCGGATCAAAGCGCTGCGGGTAATTGTATTAATTTGGTTGTCCAATTCTTAGTGGTTTGATACTATTTATTTACTACTGCTTTTTTTATGAACTCTTCGAGGACCAGCGTTAATGATCAGGTTTCGTCGTGCCGTCACTTGTGCCGCAGCCAGACAAGCGGCCAAGCAAGCTGCTCTGCTTGTCTGTGCATGCGCGTCTGGCTGTCTGCCTTCTTTCCCACTATGCACGACGCCGCCACTACAGTAGCTGAGTGGGATCTAACGCTACGCGGTGAGCATCAAAATGACTCCCACGATCCACAAAAGACTCATACTCACCTGTTTTTACTCATTTAATGTTAAACATTACTTGTTTTGCCTAGCATATACCATGCTTATTTATACGTTTATGATGCTTGTTCTATTTATTTATCCATTTTATTTATGCCTGAAAGAATTGAGTGGTAGCAAGAGTTCGACCTCAGACGGAAGTTGAGCCCCTGTTCCACCCATATCGGGTTTGCGCTGTGCCACCTGGGCAACGTTTCGCCTCCACTCATTCCTCAGCGTAGCTATCATAGCAAGAAAAAAATGAAACTCTCGCTGTTTCTTTATCCCTGAGGGACGAGTCATGCAATCGCCCTTGAATTTTAACATCGTTTGAGGTGATTCCACGCATATCTCGCCATTACAATGATTCGTGGTGGGCTCCCGATGTATCGAATCAGTGCTGCCTACCCTCTCAGACAAGTCTGAAGCCAGTCTGGTATTATTTTACCGAGCGCTGAGAGGTGGATGGCCTGGTGAGCCATGGCGCGAGATCGAACCATCAACCTTGTGCGCGACGCAGAGCGCCTCTAACCACTGCGCCACGTGCGTGCGAGCAACGTGATTATTTCTCGCAAAACAACGCATCTTTGAGAATGAAAAGATTCCCAAATTTTCGAGCATATTGTATTGGAAATAAAAAGAACAGACGTGATCGAAGGAGGCAGGGCGAGGGGGTGGCTTCCCCGAGTCTCTGGAAGGCAACCGGTTGAAGATTTTGTAGGCATTGCGGTATTTGCAGCATCAGTAATTTAAAAACTACTTCCAAAAAAATTTTTACAACTAGTGAAACTTTGTTTTGTAGATGCCCGACGTTCTTTAACACCAGGGACGCACCGCTGGTTTCTCCGATGCTATAATTGCAACCATTTTGGACAGTCTCGGTGTGAACGTCCTCTACACGCAACTAAATAGTCCAATCGATGGTCATCCCAATAATAAGTAAATTTTCGACTTTCGACATCCATTCGGGAAAATCCCCGCAAATATGGGCGGAGATATTGTGATAATTGCATTCACTTTAGTGCTGTCGTTAATTCTCAGTTTGAAAAAATATCAGAAGACATTGAAATGTTTCAAGAAGCATATAAATCGTCAATTGTTCTGAGTTACTTCATTAAAGTTTTCTTATATGATTGAAATAACGCGGAGATGTTATGAAAAGTTTTGTTTGGATAGTAATCCCGTGCCTTCGTGTTCTTTAAATTCATATTTCTATGAGTGGATTTGCCACAACCTCAGGTAAACAAGAGAAAGTGATGAGAGAGAAAACTAAAAAATGATATACCGTGCAACATTAAAAGACCTCAGACTTTATTTTAACGAGCTCTCCTTTCTTATTTAAAACACATTTGTGAGTGGCCTTTTATTAGTATATCTCAAACACTTATTCTGAAATGATTTGGCGCTCACCATTCTATTGCCAGATTAAAAAGAGTCGGGTAAATGCAGATATAACTCTACTATCCACTTTGTTCGACTTTTCAATGCTTTGCTTGACTTAACTAAAACGCTTGTTGAGTTACCCAAGGTACCATGATGAAAGCGACCTGCGTCATATTTGTCAACAGAGTTACGAGAATATGTCCTCCTGCAATACGAGCAATGATGTGTTTGATTAGCAACGGCATGTTTTTGGTGCCCATTCCTCCTCAGCACTTGTCCATCTTAGAAACCCTGACGGTTTGGGCTGTTTTTTTTCTTTGTAGAGCTTTGTTTTGATTCAAAAGTAATCTTTTAGACCTCAAACATCAACTTGACGACTTGGAGCAGAGAGATGTAGCAAAGTGTAGTGAACAGAGTGTTCCGAATGATAACATCGCGTCCATGTAAAACGCACTTCGCCACGGCACTTGCCACCGTCACCTAATACATGAATCCAGCAAAGCACATTTCGAAATGAATTGTCCACTTGTGCGAATTTTTAATGCTGTAGCCTCACAAAGAAACTAGGCAGATATACCACTGGAGTATTGGATTGTCAAGAAAATTTGGTGCTGCAGAACGCGTTGTCTATATGTCGCTCTATATGCTTCGTTAGGCTTTACATATGATATGTACTTTTTGTCAGAGAAGTTCAAAAATGCGTATCTCGTCTACAATTTTCCTTGAGTTAAAAGTGGTCAACATACTCAAAGTTGGAAGAATACTGTTTGAAAACGGTATCTACATTCATGAAAACTGCAAAAGTTCTCCTGTAATCTCGTAGGCTTACAAACTTAAAGTAATCCAATGCTCAAGTATGAAAATTAGTTGTGGGAAGACCAGTATCGAGCGTTCGGTGTGAGACGAAGAAGGACATCAAGTTGGAAGGAAGTTAGCTAACATGATTTTGATCGATGTTAATCGGCGCCCAGCAAATTTCCGTACAGTCTTCATTGATTAACTGTTCTCAGTCAAATATTACCGTCAATTGTAGTAAGAACAACTTCAACACTCAAATGTGAAAAGAGAAAGCGCATATAGATCATTGGAAAAACATCAGCATTCCAGAATGTTCAGTGATATGCAAAACTCAATTCTTTTGAGTTAAACAGCACGGGATGAAGCAATGACCCCTTTCTCTAAACAGATGCTTCTCACAAGAATGTTAGTAATCATTCAAAAGCTTGTATTTCTGGCTAGCTCGGTACGTGACCATTTTTTCCAAAGAGACCATTTTCTGACGACGTATTCAGAATAAAATGATGTTTTACATTGGCTGCGCAATTCAACTATTACTTCGCTGGAAGCACGAAAAGCACATGAACGTGGTAGCGAAGATTTTTTATTATTAAAGTCAGACGTTCAATCTGAAGTTTCTTTCAGAGAGACGAACGATTCTAATTGTTCAGCGAAGACTGCTCACCGCCGAAGGGAGAACGACAGGTGATTGCGCCGACCCTTTCGCCGTCCTGGCCTGCAACCAGTGAAGTGGCCAAAGCACACCTTCTCAAGTATGTACATGAATCTTATTTTTCTGTTACGCTGTAGACAAATGGTTTTTCAAAAAAATAGGCACAGTTTTGGAATCCTTAAATCCTACGCTATCGAATGATTGCTAATAATCCAAGAATGGGTTCCGTCTTGCGAGAAAAATATGTGTGCGTGTGTGTATGTGTGAAACACAAAGGTTATCCATCTGTCTACGTCAAGAGAAGGTTTTTATGAAAAAACGAGCTTTATGCCGCTTTGTCAAGGATTTAAGCTTTTGAATGATCACTAATACCCTTATAAAGAGTTCTTGTCCAGAGGAAAGGGTCCTTTTCTTATCTCCTAACGGAAAAGTACCCAAAACTCCTAAAATTTAGCTGAGCTGCATTACATCCTTACCGAGGTGCGTGCTAATCTTACTTTGTCGAAGCTCACCCTCTGCCGTCGCTCTTTGTACGATTCAACGTATTGAGAGCAATCAGCCGTCAACAGATTTCGTCTGGTAAGCGCTATCAGCTAAAACCTTGTGTAACGCGGTTTCAACTTCAACCTAAGGTTTCAGATTTTGCATATCACCCAGTATTCTTGGATATATGGCCATGGATTTATGATACTGCTATAAAAAGGTTGAAATAAGGATTTTTTGTAGATCGTAACACCATTATGATGCTGGCGAATACGGCAATCGCTGTGCACTGTAATCACGAGGACCTCCGTTGACTAAGGATTCAGTTAGTCCTGCTTGCACATGTATCTTTTCAAATGCAATTAGTTGTCGAAATCTTTGTTAGGAGAGATCATAGTGGTTGATATCAATTTTCTCACTACGACCTGAGAAACGTTGGGAACATACTTCCAGCGTAAATCGACAAAATACGCTCAAAAACTGCAAACACTACTTTCTAAGCTACTATTCTACGCTACTGATTTAGTAGTATGGAGATTTTATTGTACCCAAGAAGATATATTGTCACGTATCTGGGCTTTCTTTTCAACAAACTACAATATGCAGCACTATGGCCAATCTATTCCGTGAAATAAGTAATGCATACACATGTACCAGAGGCAATCCGTGGAGGTAAATTACACGAGGTTTTTTTTATTTTATCGCGTTATAGCAAAACTTGGATGTTACAAGCATTTTTTGAAGATATTAGGTGATATGTAAAGTTCTGAGCATTCCGTGAGAGGTAAGTCGGGATCTCACCCTTTTAGGGGATGAGTACTAACTACTGCACAACGAAGAAGGTGGGTTCCTGTGCTGTTAACACTCTTTGTACGAGTTCTCCACTGAAAGAAGTGGTTTCACTCCCCAACCGAGGTTGAAAGT